CTCCTTCCTCCATCACCCACACCCGTCCACCATAGCCGGCCACCCCCGACCCTCCTTCCTCCTCCGTCACCCACACCCGTCCACCATAGCCGACCACCCCCCCCAACCCTTCTTCCTCCTCCATCGCCCACGTCCATCCTCCATAGTCGGACCTCCCCAACCCTTCTTCCTCCTCCATCACCCACACCCGTCCACCATAGCCGATCACCCCGAAGCCTTCTTCCTCCTCCATCACCCACGTCCATCCTCCATAGCCAGACTTCCCCAACCCTTCTCCTTCCTCCATCACCCACACCCGTCCACCATAGCCGACCACACCCCCAACCCTTCTTCCTCCTCCATCACCCACGTCCATGGGTGATGTGTTGACTTAGGCTTGCGGGAAGGGCCGATGTGTTGACCCCAATGGGGATTGTGCTTGGTCATTTGTATTGTGTGGTCTTGCGCAGGTGAGTAGCTAGGGACGATTTGGACGGGGATGGACCCACGGATGAGGACTAGGGTGGGAGATTGGCAAAAGGAAGGATCCGGCTTAAGCTATGGATGCGAGATGAGTTGAGGCCGGCCGCTTGGGTCGATGGTTGATGCATGGACTTGGGTTGTGCGGAGGTTGTATGGAATGTCTCTCTCTCATGTGCAATGCGACCTCTGAAAAGATTAAGGGCGGTCTCGGATAGGTGATGCGATGCTAGTGGCTCGCGCAAAAAAAATATATATAGCGGCTAGGGGTCCGCGCGACGCCGCCTCACCCCAAGGATGCCGTCGGGGCTGTCCCAAGCCACTAGACTTAGTGAAAGGGTGCGTGGCCTAATGAATGACGCTTGGCCTGCGCACTTGCACTAGCAGCAACTAGGGAAACAGCAAACGCCGCAACTAGGGAGCAGGCTGCAGCAGCAGCCAGGGCAACAACCATGACTAGCTCAGCAGCATCCTCTGCGGCTTTGTCTGGGACCAATTGGACCCAGTTGGGAATGCCCACAGGTCCACGAGTACTTCTAGTTCATTAGGAACTCGACAGTCTACAAGTCAGATGGCGGGCTCGCAGTTCAGCCCGTTGACCCCACGCGAAAGGGAGCTAAGAGAGCTCCAACAGGTCGAAAGGATTCGTGGACAATTAGAGAGAGACCTGAAGAAAGCAACTGATAGAAAGCGAGATCAAGAATAGAACAGCCAGACTTGAAACGTTAGAGGCAGACAAAGCTGAGTTAGAGGGCTTGGATGAGTCAGGACTGTCTGATGCAATGAAAACATTGAAGAACAATATGTTGTCGCTGCATGCGCATGTGGACAGCAGATTGGACTTTATGCAAAGCACTCAGACCAGATCTTGGACCTTTTGGAAAGGCCAGGATACAGGCCACCAGCACAGTCGCCGTTGCCGTTAACGGCGATGTCTGACCCCTTTCCAGCTCAAGCAGGCATACAACCAAGTGGCACGTCTGCAGCAGCTGCACAGACTGTTGCTTCTTCTTCTTCGGGTCCAACGGTGGGTGCTACACCACCGCAACAACCTGTCCCTCAACAGGGACAGCGGCAAGGTCAATGGTACCCTAAGACCCCATGAAACCGCCTCTTGCCTTCTCAGGCGAGAGGAAGGACGAAGAGCTCAACACTTGGTTGAGAACTGTTCCAGTTTGGGTGAAGGCGAAGAGGACCTTGCCAGAGAACGAAGTGGTTACTGTTGCATCTTACCTTGAAGGTAAGGCAGCCAAATGGCTAGATGGTATAGTTGCAAAGGCCGGGTATGCACGACGTATGGCGGACTGGGTTCAGTCTATCACGTTAGACCAGTTCTTTGAGATGGTAGAAGCTCGCTGGCACAATCCTCAACAGGCGCAAATTGCCACTGATGAGATAAACAAAACCAAGAGGAGGGTATGTACCTAGTGTATGTCTCTGAGAAAGGGGAGGCCGTTAAAACACCCCCAGAGATAGAACGCGTCGTTGCTAAGTTCCCTGATCTGTTCGAAGAGCCTACAGGAGTGTAGAAAGGGAAGTTGTCCACGCTATAGAAATCATTCCAGGGAGTAAAACCCCAAAGGGAAGGATCTATAGGATGGCTCCCGCCAAGTTAGATGAACTTCGGCGACAACTCAAAGAGCTGACAGAGAAGGGATGGATCCGGCCTAGTACTTCCCCTTACAGATCTCCAGTTCTATTTGTACCAAAGAAGGGGGGGACATTGAGGATGTGTATTGACTATAGAGGCCTCAATGCCATCACCGTGAAGAACGCAGAACCTCTACCTCGCATAGACGACCTACTGGATAGGGTGCAGGGATGCAAGTACTATAGCAATATAGACTTGAAATCCGGCTATCATCAGATCGCTATAAGACCCGAGGACCAACACAAGACAGCTTTTCAGACTCTATATGGTCTGTATGAGTTTGTAGTGATGCCCTTTGGTCTTTGCAATGCGCCGGGAACATTCCAGCACGCTATGAATCGGATCTTCCATGACCATTTAGATAAGTTTGTCGTGGTTTACCTTAACGACATTCTGATCTTTCGTAAGTTTGTCGAGGAGCATGCACAACACGTTGAGACTATACTTTCACTCCTGCGACAGCACAAGTATAAGGTCAACCTAGAGAAGTGTGAGTTTGGTCGCACTAAGAGATTATACTTGGGTCATGAAGTATCCGCGGAAGGGATTAGGTCGGAAGATGCGAAGGTGGCTAGTATTCGAGACTGGCCACGACCAGAAACAGTCACTGAGGTCAGATCTTTCTTACGAATGCGCGGCTACTATAGGAACTTCGTAAAGAACTATTCTACAGTCGCCTCTCCTTTGACAGATCTAACTCGACTTCACACGCCGTGGGACTGGAGTGATGAGTGCGAGGGTACTTTCAAGCGATTGAAGCATGCACTCATGAATCATGAAGTTCTCATGGTTCCCGATCCTCAGAAGCCATTCATAGTGACCACTGACGCAAGCCAATACGACATTGGCACAGTGCTTGCTCAATAGGATGGGAAAAAGTTGAGACCGATTGAGTACATGAGTAAGAAGATGCCATCGAAGAAACTGGCAAAGTCCACCTACGAAAGGGAACTCTATGCTCTCTACAAGGCACTTGTCCATTGGAGACACTTCCTATTGGGAAGGTTCTTCTACTTGAGGACTGATCATCAGACCCCCAAATGGATCACGACTCAACCGGCTCTTTCTGACGCACTCAAGCGATGGATTGAAGTCATAGATCAATATGACTTCAAGCTTGAGTATCTGAAGGGAGAGTACAACAAGGTTGCAAACGCGCTATCACGTAGGGCAGACTACCTAGGTGCGCTAGTTTCTGACTTTGGTGTATCTGAAGAAGTAACTCAATCATTGGTGGGAGCCTATCAGGAAGACCCTGTCACGATGGACATCATGCGCAAACTTCAGGCAAAAGACAAGGCCACGGGAAGTGAGTTTGTGGTGGTGGACGGGCTACTCTATCTTGATAAGGCCGGTGTTAAAAGGCTAGTAGTTCCATCTAGTGAACGTTTGCGTAGTTTGTTTTTAGGAGAATGCCATGACGCAACCGGGCCCTTTGGTTACAAAAAGACGAGTGCTAATCTAGTACAACGATTTTGGTGGCCTGGAATGGAAGATGACGCGAAGAAGTATGTAGAGACCTGTCACGTCTGTCAGCGGGACAAGCCGCGAACTCAAGCACCGCTTGGGTTGCAGAAGCCCTTACCTATCCCTGCTGGTCCAAGACAGAGTGTTTCCATGGATTTCATGGACACCCTGGTGACCAGTAAGAGTGGCAAGAGGCACATTTTCGTCATCATCGATCGATTCACCAAATACGCTAGACTAGTTGCCATGCCAGAGACAGCAGGGACGGGCCATGTCATCAAGTTGTTTCCGGACAACTGGGTGCGTGACTTTGGTTTACCAAAGACAACCGTTAGTGACAGAGATGTTCGTTTCACAAGTGAGTTGTGGAAGAAGACTGCTGAGCAGATGGGCAGTCAACTTCAAATGACTTCAGGGAATCATCCCAAAGCCAACGAACAGGCCGAGCAAATTAATAGAGTTGTACAACACTTGCTGAGGCATTACATCAAGCCCAGCCACGATGATTGGGATGAGAAGTTGCCTCTCATCGCCAGCCTGTACAACAACGCTGTACACAGCAGTACCGGCGTTAGTCCTAACCAGCTGCACTTGGGATGGAAGCCTAGATCTGCTCTGGACTTCCTCCTACCTGAAAACCGATCCTCTGCAACTCCAGGCACACTTGAGTACGGTGTGCAGTATGAGAAGCTGCTGCAGCAAGCTGTCGAGCATATTAAGAAAGCTTAGCAAGCAATGATTGCTTCTGAGAACAAGCATCGACAACAGTCCTCATTTCAGGTAGGGGAACGTGTCTGGGTCAAGGCTAGTGAGCTAGGACAGGAATTCGGTATCTCTAGAAAACTAATGCCTCAGTACTTTGGTCCTTGGGAAGTCCTGGATGTAATGGGAGATGAAATGGATGGTCCTACCTATGTTATCCGTATCCCTGGACACCTACGCACTCACCCTGTCTTTCATGCCTCAAAGCTTGCACCTTTCGCTGAAACTGATCAATTCCATTCAAGGAGATCAATGCTGCCCCCAACCATGGATGGCCAAGTGGACATCGACGACATTGTGGATCACAGAGACCTCCCAAACCCAAGAGAGAATATCGCGTCAGATTCAGGCATCATACGGATCCAAAGGAAGACCGGTGGTTCACCAGAGAGGAACTGATTGACAAAGCTCCTTAGGTGGTGGCAGAATATGAGAGGAAGCTGAAAGGGAAGGCACCTGCGAAGTAAGCATCTCAGCGGACTTTCGAAGCTAAGGGGGATGGAATGTGAGGATTGAGCCCTCAAGAAGGGGCCTTGCCATGATGTACATGTTCTGGGCTAAGGCCCCAGCAAGCCTCGTGCCAACCCTAAGTGAAAGCGGGCCAACAAATCAACAAGAGCCCTCTGTGCAAACATTTCACGAAGTGGGGTCCATACAGTTGCAGCACGCCAGTTGGTTGGAGTGCACCGAGTCTCGGATCTCTGCAAATGCGGAAATCCCAGGGCCTTTGAGTTGGTTAGGCCCTGGGCACTTGAACGAGAGGCCGACAATGCATGCTGGGTATAGAGGCCAAAAATGCCAATGGGAAATCGGCCCACTATCTGAATCTGGCCGCAGGCCTTGACAAAAGAGGCGCAACTGCATCCTGGGCCTCAACTGCATCGGGCCTGGGTTCAGGCACTGAGGCCCAGACGCAGGCTGAAAGGAGGCCGCCCACACGCAACACTGGCATATAGGCAAGCAGGGCGAGTGGGCACCTATCTTGGCCATTACGAGCACTGTCGGCATGCTGCGCGAACGCGAGCTGCTGTGCTGCGCTAAGGCTGAGGGAGCAGGCTAGCGCTAAAGCGGTAGGGCGCTGCCTGTGTGCGCAGGGCGCTGGCGGCCATAGTCGGGCTGCTTGAGAGCGCATGGGAGGTGAGGGTGAAGGTGGTTCTTCGGAGGTGAAGGGCGCTGTGTGGGATAAAAAGAGAGAGTGTGGGTGAAGGAGAGAGACGTACCTGGTGGAGGTGAGGGTCGGCATTGGTGTTGACATCATCACTCGCTGGTCGTCAAGTTGTCTGGTTGCTTTCATGCTGTAGTTGTAGGATTAGGCTTTAGAGTAGGTAGGGCGCCTAGCGCCATTCAGAGAGAGAGCTGCATTGGGTTATGCTGTTGGTGTTGCCCTGTTGGGCTTGGACATTGACTCACGATTCTTCTGTATCATTCTCAAATGGATGGTTACTCGGTTCCATTGTGCTATCTGCTCTTGCTTTGACNCCCTGTTGGGCTTGGACATTGACTCACGATTCTTCTGTATCATTCTCAAATGGATGGTTACTCGGTTCCATTGTGCTATCTGCTCTTGCTTTGACAACTTGGACTTCAGTGTGATTTTGCAATTTGGATTTCTGTGCTTGTTCATGTTCCTTGCAGGTCTGAAATTCGATTTTTTTTTTGAACTACCTGTTGTGGGGAAATAATAGGAGACCTACCGATCTTGCAATCGAGAAATTTTATTAATTAATAATATTTATTTTCTCAAAATTTTCGCATAGTTTCAACTTTTCATTTTTGATTAGTGGCTCCTTATCTGGGCGATTCACTCGATTCCCCCACTCCCCACCTCTCCCTCCCAACCCCATCTCCTCTTCTTCTTGCTCACCTGCCCATTAGTTCAGGATGCAGCCTTGGTAAGTTTGAAGGCCACGTCAACTACCAGCGACGCATGACCCTCCTCACTCGTTCACAGACAGCAGAGATGGTTCAGAAAGCCAACGAGACTCACGAGGCCTACGAGGCATGTTTGGCGGCCATCATGGCAGAAAGAAAGCAACGACCAAAGCATCAGCAGCAACAAGGAAGAAGGACGCAGAGGCAAAGAGGCTGCGTCGGGTGGCCGAAGATCAACGGCATAAGCACACAGCAGCAGTAGCAAAGGTCGCCGATGAAGAACGCACACGGCGGCGAGAGGTTCTCTTCAAGGAGGAAACAGCGTTACACGCACAGGCCAAAGATTGGCAGAAGGAGGCCGAGAATGAGGACTCCGTTGACTACGGGACCAAGATTGCTCTCTTGCTCAACCGCGTCATGGACCTCCTTGCTACTTGTATCGCACAACAGCAGGACATTCACTCTCTCGACCACGCACAACCAGGCGCTGACTAAGCGCATACAGCACAGCTGGAGCAGCGACCCATTTCCACTTCCAGCGCCAGCTCCTCCGACCTCGTCGACCGCGTCAACGTCTTGGAGATAGACGTGCGAACACTCAAGACCGAGACACAGCGGCTGGACCAGCAGGTGGGGGCAGTGGCCACACCTAACTCAGCGCCACGTGATAACATTCCCAAATTTGAGGGGCTCCCGATCTTTTGTGATGCATCGAAGACGGACCCTATACCTTGGTGACGCCAATTCGAGTTAAAGCTGGACATCCACCATGTCGTCAACACAAACCGGCACGCATACTTGTACTCCAGGTCAGGAGGTGCGTGCCAGGCATGGCTGGACAACAGGTTGTCCGCACATGCATGCACAGTCTCCGAGTTACACAACTTCATCACCTGGGCCGATCTCACAGCAGCATGGAAGAAGCGTTTCCAAGTAGAACCGCCCGAGCATCAGGCGATGGACAAGCTGCTGACATTCACACAGAACAGCATGCCAAGTGGAGACTAGATATCTGAGTTCCAACGTCTGGCAAGCATGCCCAAGCTGCCGCTGAACTTCGACGGCATCAAGCTCTACTTCATCAAAAGGTCGTGCCCGGCATTGCAAAATATGTTAACTCAGGTCTTTGAGAACCTCAACACAATTGAGGAACTCTTCAACAAGGCCGCGCAAATCATTGTGACGAACTTGGAAGCCAAGAACGTTGGCCGTTCGTCGACAACCGGCCAGGGCACGTAACAGCATCGACCGAAAGTGGTCGTGGTCGTTGCGGCAACGCCAAGCGACCCTTCAACTTCAAACGAGGCTGCCTCTTCTACCGAGAGAGACAGATTAGCAGCTGCCCAGAATGGTGGCCGCCCCTCCA